AATGTGGGAAGTTATCGCCGCTTCAGTACCCCACAGCCACAGGCGGCCTTCTTTGACCCTCACAATGCAGAAGGCGAGCGCATGCGCCGAGCTGCTGCGGAGGCTGCCATGTCGGACATGATTCAGTGGTTCAACTCTGGAAAGGGTGTTGTGGCTATCCTGGATGCTACTAACTCCACAAAGGATCGCCGCAAGTGGATCTATGAGAAATGTACCGAGGCTGGTATCGAGGCACTCTTTGTCGAGTCGATTTGTGATGACGAAGATCTGATCATGACCAACATCAAGGAAGTCAAGACGACATCCCCGGACTACAAGGGCCAAGACCCTGAAGTGGCGGCACTTGATTTCCGCAACCGCATTCGCAATTATGAAAAGGTGTACGAGACCATCGATGATGACGAGAAGAAGTACACTTATGTCAAGCTTATCAACGTGGGATCGACGGTCATCATCAACCAAATCAAAGATTATCTGTCCAGTCGCCTAGTCTATTATATCCAGAATATCCACATCAAGCCTCGTTCAATCTGGCTATCAAGAGTAAGTCAAAAAGATCAAAATCAAGGATTATTTCGAAGCGGGACTGACGAATATAGCATGGTGAATCCGAGTTCAACCTGACCGGCCGGATTGGAGGTGACGCCAACATCTCCGAGCGTGGCGAGGCCTACGCCCGCGCACTACCCGAGCTAATGCGCAAGTCTGGTATCCCAGACAACACCAAGATCGTGATCTGGACCTCAACTTTGCGCCGCACCATTCAGAGTGCCCGCCATCTCAAAGCAGCGACTGGCTATGAGACACTGGAGTGGAAAGCCCTGGATGAGCTGGACTCGGGCGTCTGCGACGGTTTGACCTACGAGCAAATCGCTGAGAAGTACCCTGAGGATTTCGCCGCCCGTGATGAAGACAAGTACAACTACCGCTACCGCGGTGGCGAGTCCTACCGCGACGTCGTCATCCGCCTTGAGCCCATCATAATGGAGCTGGAACGCAGTGAGAATGTGATTATTGTTACCCACCAAGCTGTCCTCCGCTGCATCTACGCATACTTTATGAATATACCCCAGGAGCAGAGTCCCTGGATGGAGGTGCCTTTGCATACTCTTATCAAACTCACGCCCCGCGCTTACGGTACCGAAGAGCAGCGCTTCAAGGCTGATATCCCCGCTGTGTCAACCTGGCGTGGGAAGGGCACCTCGGCGAAGCACCAGGATTTCCCTACTGAGGGAGAAAAGAAAGAGGACACGGAAACCAAGCATTAGGGATGTGTTGATCTGCATCGGCGTGGCGTCACCTGGATGTGGTGGGAATTCGGACTGCATGAGATATTCAGATACCAAAAAACATGGGGTTTCTTTGATTACATGGTACATACTTTAAATTATTTTTTCAAATCGTGTTCCTCGCCGGTCTATCGTAATACTTATGCCTTATTGGATGGTTGAATTTCATTTCGCCTCCAAAAGCATACATGTAGTGACATCTCTTTCTCAGCTACAACCCGCTTCGAACTTCGAACGAGGAGTTGCATTTGATTTCAGGCACAGAAAACTTGTATGAACAACCGACAACAGAAGCCAAGATCTCATTCTACAACATTAGTTGCCTCCAGGGCCAACCCGTGGACCCGTGGACCAGATGTATGCTGACTCAGAACTGACTCAGCTCCGGACGTCATGCGGAGAGCTCCAGTACGAGCGCCCCTCGAACCTCCAGCGGAAGGAATTGAAGACAGCACGCCCATGTTGTCAGCATTTACCGCGCGGTCGCTCGTGGAGCTCAAGCCGCGCGACAAGTCCCGCATCGACTCGGTTCTAGCCTACGGTGACCGCCTCCTCGCTGGCCTCAACAATGGCAACCTCCGCATCTACCGCGTTACCGACGACGGCAAGACCGAGCTCCTCCGCGAATTGGAGAAATTCTCCCGATACAAGATTGAGCAGCTTGCCTTGATTAAGGAGGCCAACGTGCTGGTTTCCCTTTCTGGCGGTTATGTCTCGCTCCACGATGCCCAATCCTACGAGCTGGTTGAACAGCTAGCTCAAACGAAGGGCGCTTCTGTCTTTGCTATTACGTCAAATGTTGTCAATGATGCCGATACAAACGTGCCTGCTATTGTTTCTCGCCTGGCAGTTGCTGTCAAGCGGAAGATTCTTATGTGGGCGTGGCGGGACATGGAGCTGGAACGGGATACCGCTGAGCTGAGCTTGGTTAGTGGGGTCAAGACTCTTACCTGGGTTGCGGCTACACGGCTAGTGGTTGGGCTAAACTCGAGCTTTGTCATGGTTAATATTGAGAGCGGACAGTTCACGGACCTGGCTGGGCCGGGTAGTATTGAGGAATCTGGCCGGTTTACGGGCGTTGGTGCCGCGAGCATGAGCTATATTGGTATGGGAGGGATGGTGCCGCGGCCGCTTGTGACGAGACTGCGGGAAGGTCAGATTCTTCTGGCGAAGGACATCAACACGAATTTCATCGATGTCGACGGCCAGCCTCTCGGTCGGAAGCAGGTGCCTTGGAGCCATGCCCCGGTAGAGCTTGGATACTCGTACCCGTTTTTGTTGGCTTTGCACGACTCATCCAAGGGGGTGTTGGAAGTACGGAACCCGGAGACCTTGTCGCTACTGCAGTCTATTCCATTGCCGTCGGCTAGTATCTTGCACATTCCCCAGCCGAATATCAGCCTCGCCCATGCCGGTAAAGGGTTCCTTGTGGCGAGTGACCGCACCATCTGGCGCATGGAGGCTCTGAGCTATGATACCCAGATCGATGCTTTGATTGATGGTGGTTATCTCGATGAGGCCATTAGCTTACTCGGCATGCTGGAGGATGCTCTTTTACGGGATAAGCCTGGTCGACTACGTGCGACAAGACTTGAAAAAGCGCAGAGCTTGTTCGCCTTGAACAAGTACCGGGAATCTTTGGATCTTTTTACTGAGGTTTCGGCACCCCCCGAGAGCGTCATTCGCCTATACCCTCGCTTGATTGCAGGCGATCTTTCTACGGTTCCGGAGCCTGAAGCTCCGAATGGAAAGGCGAACGGGTCCCAGAGTGATGGGTCATCCGATGATGTTGCTGCCGGGCAGGCATCCACACACGCACCCTCTATTATATCGTCTGTGCGAAAGCCCGATGAAGGAAGCGAGGCTAGCAGTACCCGCGGAGACGACAAAGGTACGTCAAGCTCACATTACTTTTGAATCCATGCTAACCGGTTATAGGTCTTCGAATTGCTGTCCGCGAACTACAAGGATATCTGGCAGATGTTCGCCGACGCTTCCAGCGTTTCCTCAACCCCGATGGATCTCTCAAAGCTGCTGCACCAGTAGAAGCCACAGATGAGGCAAGTGACTCGGTTCTTAAGCTGCTAGATTTCCCCTCTCCCGACGAGTTTGCCACACAAGTTTGTGCCAAGGCACGGTTGGTTGACACCACTTTGTTCCGTGCACACATGTTAGCGACGCCATCACTAGCTGGATCCCTCTTCCGCATTGCCAACTTCTGTGACCCAGAAGTAGTCATGGAGAGACTTGAGGAGACAGGTAGATATAACGACCTAATCGATTTTCTTTACGGCAAGAAATTGCATCGCCAAGCACTTGAATTGCTCCAGCGCTTTGGACAGACAGATAACGGTCCTCTGAGCGGTCCGACACGCACAGTCGCGTACCTTCAGAGTCTACCGCCAGACCAAATTGACCTGGTTCTCGAGTTCGGAGAATGGCCGCTTCGAGCCAATCGCGAGTTGGGCATGGATATATTCTTGACCGACACTGAAAATGCTGAGACATTGCCCCGTCCACGAGTTCTCGCATTCCTTGAAAAAATAGACACCACGCTTGCCATTCAATATCTCGAGCATGTCATTAACGAATGGAATGACATGACACCAGACATACACCAGCAGCTGCTCATCTTATATTTAGGTCAACTCACATCCAACAACGAGCAAGGTGAATGGAAGGAGAAGTTCTTGACGATGTTGAAAGAGAGCAAGCAATACTCGCCAGCGAAGATGTTAGATCGGCTCGATCGAGAGGGTATGTTACCCGCTACCCCTGTGAAACAAGCCATCACTGACCATATCCCAGATCCCAACTTCTACGAAGCCCGAGCTATCCTATTTAGCCAGATGGGCCAGCACCGACAGGCGCTCGAGATCTACGTCTTCAAACTTGAGGACCACGAGAAAGCGGAAGAGTGAGTGATATATCATTTCTCCAAGGGCAACAATTGCTAACACCAGAAAGATACTGCAACCAGGTCCACCTCGCCGAAAAGGCCGAAGAAGAGAATTCCATCTACCTCACCCTCCTTTCCCTCTATCTCTCCCCACCCCACGGCTATGAGCCCCAACACGAACCCGCGATTGACCTGCTAGCCAAGCATGGCTCACGCCTCCCAGCCGACGCCGCATTGAAACTCATACCGGACACACAGGCTGTGCAGAAACTTGAATTCTATTTCAAGGGCCGCATGCGCGCTGCGAACTCGGTTTTCAATGAAGCGCGCATCGTGGCAAACCTGCGCAAGGCACGGGATATGCAGATCCAAGCCCAGCTCGCTCTTGGCGAGGGCATTCGTGGTCGAGGTACGCGGGCTCGCCACGTCACTGTCACCGAGGAGCGAATTTGTGGCGTCTGCCATAAGCGTTTGGGTGGGAGTGTGATTAATGTTTTCCCCGAGTAAGTCATTTCCGGTCATTCGTCTTTTTGATTTGTTCATTGCTGACTTGTTTCCAGTGATACCGTGGTTCACTTGGGCTGTGCCAATCGAAAAGCCAGTGTTCGAGCTGGGTAGTGTGCTTGCTCTCCTGCATCTGCATTCGCGGGTCGCTTGTTCATGTCCTTGGTTTTCCTTTTCCTTTTCCTTTTTCTTTTTTTTCCGGCTCGAATTTCTCTTTTCATTTGGTTTTTTTGTGTCGACGGAGGCTATCCCAGCGACTTTGATACCCATAGCATCTGCCCATTTCAAGATACATCCTGGTTATGCGATCATGCATCGTCCTCAACCACCTCCTCTCCGTAATTTTCCTCCTCTTTAGCTTCCTGTGCTGAAATCTGACCCTGCACTTTCTTATCCTCTTCCATGCGCTCCGTGAGGAAGACGTTGATCTGGTCCTGCAGCTTGGGTACGAGCGACTGCAACGCTGATAGGTGGGCTTGCTTGTCCGCTAGTGTGCCGGTTGTGGTTGAGATCACATGCTCAAAGGACTCAGTGGATTGAGGAGCGGTGTAGACTGCATTCAAGCTCGTATTGGAGGCCATTTTGAAATGAAACAGGGAAGTTGGGGAAATTGATTTGTTGACGCAGGAGGGGGAAGTTGGCAGAGAATACTGTCTCCAGCTATGCTACCGCCTTTCTTACCGCCTTTCTGCTGATCTAATCCTCACAGCCGACCTCGGGACTTGGCACTTGTTCCCCAGAGGACTTTTAAAGATCAGAGGACTTTCAAGATCCAGGTACGGCTGAATACCAAAATTATATATTACTTGATGGTACGGAGTACTTTGATGATCATACGGTAGCACTGCCGAGGCTAATCTCTGTTGGGTTCTAGTAAGGCAGTAATACCTAGTCTGTATGCAGCCTGGGCCTGGGCATAACACTAGTAACTGGTGGAAATATGGAAAAGAGGAAATCTGTTTGATACAACACACACCAATACAGGCACAAAGGACGATGTAAAGTAATAGAATGAATATACAAATATATTATTTGCAAAGCTATAATCTCTGCTGAGTTCAGATCATATCGAAGCTTAGCCAAGTCTCCGCATCTTTTCGTCGATCTGAGATTCTGCCAGATAGAAGTAGAGGAAAGGATCGGCAAAGTGCCCAGATGTGGCTTTTGTAACGTTGTAAGGAAAAATCCTCGAAAGATACCTAACTCGCCCTGAAAGAGAGAGAGAGAGAGAAATAGAGCATGGACTATTCGTTATGAATCCCACCTTCCAATCCTCCAACTCGCCCGGGCGTCAAGCACCTCCTGCCCCTCGATACCCCCGACCTCCATCTGATGACGAAGACGAAGACGACTCTGATGAAGACGAATTGGTTCGCCCCGGTTCCTCCGGTAGTGACGCCTCTTCTAATGTGACCACCGTTTCCGCCGCTCCTATCACTCCAATCAATACTCAACTACCCCCCCGGGGTTACTTCCCTTCACAACCACGCTCGGCCACTTCACCTCATCACCCTATGCCGAACCCAACAGCCCGAAGGCCCTCCGGCCGGGGTCCTTCAGTCGAGCTACCCCGGCACAGATCACGGCATCACTCGCAGGGTTTCTTTGAGCCTTCCCTGCCGACCGCCTCCTCCGACCAGGTCCCTACCGTGTCAGCATCCCGTATCGCCGCACAGGCAGCAATGCAGCAGACAAAAAGGCAACAAAATACTATAACCCCGATAGAGGATGGTTCTCGTCCCAGACGTAGTGGCAGCAGCTCACCTCCTCTCATGCCTCCTCCATTGCGTCTCAATCAACCCTCCCCACAACCGCCTCCGCCGTCAGGGAACGTGGCCACGACAGCTGCGAATGTGGTCTTCCCGAGAGCCGGTGCTCCACCGGTAGAACAACAGCCTGAGAAGCAGAAGAAGAAGAAGCTCTTCTCAAAGCCAAAACATATCGGAATCAGCAGTCACAAAGATCTGGGCAAAGACCGTGGCCTTCCCTCTCCAAGCAAGATCAGTGGGCTATCGCGCATGGTCAGTGGCTCAACTACAAACTTAACCGACCTCTCCTCGAATAACTCGTCGATGTACAATCTATCCAACGCCTCTGTGAGCACAGTCGTCCCCGCAGATCGTCCGCCGCTTCCAGAGAAGGAAAAGGATAAAGACAAAGACAAGCACAAGCATCATTTCCTGTCGAGGCAGAAACTCAAATTAAAAGATCGGGTCGAAGACCACTTCAACCTCCCTCTATCCTCTGCTTCGAGTAATTCTCGTCCGGCAGACCCCAATGCTCCACAATCGTTATACTCATTTACACCTGCGTCTCCGGCTCCTGGAGCAACGTTTGGTAAGTCGGTCAGTGGGTTGGATCTCCTGCATGGCGGTCGAGCACTGCGTGAGAAGAAAAAGGAGGAGAAGGCGCTCGCTGAGTCGGAGCAGATGGAATGGCTGGCTAATAATGCTGGCGGACCCACGCCACCCGGTGGCTTCCCAGGCCCGTCTTCGGTTGGTAGTTCGGGGACATTCCCCGACTCGATTCTACGGGAGACCTTGCAAGGGTTTGGGTTGAATAACATGACCCCAGAGGATGCGTGGGACTTTCTTAAGGCGAAGCTGCTGGTCATCTTCGATGGTGAAGACGTTCGCATTGCCATTGAAGATCTCAACAAGCTGGTTCTCGTTCATTTGCAGCGTTGTGTCGTTAAGAGGGCTCCTATGTCTATTGTGATGGACTTGCAAGAACTTCTAGAGACTGGATTTGCGACTCTGAATCACAGTTCGCTGATTGGCCTCCCAGATGAAAAGCTAGTCCCGCATCTGGTTCAAGTGTGGCTGCTGGTGTTTGGCACGATTCTACCCTTCATCCAGGCCGTGTTTCTCCCCTTGGATCTCGAGTTCAAGGGTTGTGGATCCTTGATGACTAACCGAGAAGCCCGTGAGTTCTGGGGTGCACTGCCTGCTGGTGGGACACTCGATGTACGAAGCCTGGTATTGATAGCCTTCCGTGACTGCATGATCCTGAATCGCTACGATGCTCTCAAAGCAACATTCTCCCGGCTCAGCCTGGATTCTATCAACTCCGGATTCCCAATGCTCAGCGTCACAGCCAAGAGTACCGGCACTGGAGGCCGTCCTGGCACTGCAGCGTCGCTAGATGCCGGCTTCGGTAGCTACAACTCGCAGTCATCCACACTTCTCAGCACCGTCACCGACAGTTATTCCTCCGACGGTATTAGCGCCCTGGCTAACCACCCACGTCCAAACAGCAGTGACTCTCGCAGTCGTGCTACCTCCAACACATCTTCCAACGCAGATCCCCTCTTCTTCCAGTCTATCGCATCGCCTCCAACCTCTAACAAACGGCCCGGGCCCACCGTCATCCACCGCGGCAGTTCCGCCGACTCCTCCCACATCATCACGGAGACCGTCGGCCGCATGCTGCAATGCATTAGCGTCCTAGCCAGCGTACAAACAGACGATCCTGCCCAGGAGCGAATCGAGGTTCTTAGCAAAGCTCTCAAACACAACTGGCTCGGCCGCGGCCGCACAGGCCGTGACCGTCGTGGCTTTGTCGGGGCCAAGATCCGGCCTGTGATGGTCGGCGGTCCTCCTGTTATCGATGATGCAGATTCCCTCACTACAGCTGGGATCAGCATCGGTGCTAGTACTAGTACAGGTGGATCCCGGGGTCGAGGTGACTCATCCTCATCAGAATGGAGTTCCAATGTTCCCGGGACCGGCATGAGTGTACGTAGTAGTGGTCGACGAGAACTGAGTGTTCTCTAGCTTTGTGTGTTCAATGTTTTCTTCTAGCTACTCGTTATGATTGTATGACGGCGGGCGGGTAATTTGGCAATAAAGGGGCGTTTCAAACTTATTCTCTAAAGGAATTGATATTCTATCTCGGGCATTGTTGAACATTGTCCAACAATTTCATCTACGATTGCAATCTACTCTTCACTGCAGGGAATGGTGTAAATCTTACAAGTGTTTTTTTTTTTTTTTGTTTGATTTTGTACTTAAAGGCTAACTTTTTTTTGGCCGTTTTGGTGTTTTCCCTGTTTTTTTTTGTCCTTTTCACTTATATGTGAAATCGTACAGTAAATCCAACAGTCAGTTGTCACATATGGCACCCAGGGCCCGGCCAACTAGCCACTGGGTAAAATCATCGATATGTCCATATCCACACCCACCAGAAGAGAATGACGTCTCACCTCGCCATTCATCTCAAAAAAAAATTCAAACTTCCAAGGACAACGGCTTACTTCCGTGCCCTCCCCTTCCCCTTCACATCGATCTTGCCAGACTCCTTGAGGGCCTTGTATCGAACTTGGCAAGCCTCGCTGGAAACTTCCCAGCCAAGTCCACTCGAAACCTCATTGGCAATCTGCGCAAAGTCGTCATCATCCAGCTTCGGATTGAACGCTCCCAAGGTATCCAGTAGAAGCTCCTATTAGAAAGTTAGCGACTCAGATCAATGAAACAAGTACCCATCCCCAAACAGAATCCTAAAGGACATCTGAGAGTGGGAAGGTCAAAAAGTCAGGTGAATACATACGTCAAACCCGGGCCACGGACCAATTCTCTCCCTGATTCGTCCCCAGCGCTTGCTCAGTGCTCGCCATGACATCTCGTCATCCGATTCATTTCGGTTGTCATTCCAAGCTTCTGTGATGTCCGACCATGACATTGACGCCTCTTTCATCTGGGACATCATCTTGTCGGCCTTAGGTGCTGTCTCCCATGACTCTGGCGTTGGGTTACCCTGGGGGTTCTTCTTTGCGCTGGAGGTCGTCGGCATGACACCGGAGCTGCGCAGACGGCGTGGGGAGAGACTCACCGGGACCTCTGGAGTATCGGCCTCGGTCTTTGTCTTGTTTTTGGCGCGGCGTCGAGATGATTTTGAGGTCTTTGCGGGTGGTGTCGCGGCTTGGTCCTTGGAATCACGGCTTGTTTGGATCGATGCAGGTGGAGGGCTCACTGTCTTCGTCCGGGATGAGGCGCTACCGCGCTGGTTCGAGACTGAAGTTCTGGTGGAAATCATGCTTGATGGCTCTGGGGTCGAGCTCTTTGCTTTGCGTGATCTGTGTCGCGCACGCCTTTTGGCTGACCCTTGTTCTGCTTTCTCCACTGACTGCTGGGTCTGAGATGCCGATTGGGCATGGGTGGGTTGGTTGGACGCAAGTACACCAGATTGAGATGGACCAGACAGATCGCGGCCGATAGCAGCCCAATATTCAGGTTGCAGAATATCTATGCCATCACAGGCAGCTTCCATCTCAGCAAAGATACGGTCCAGATCGGCAACTGTGGTGTATTGCTGCTGCTCTACTCTCCGGTCATACACAGATGTTGGAGTATCGGTATGCATGTCAGCCATTTCACGCAGGAGGTCCTGCTCAGACGCCAGGATGCGTGCATACTGCTCCGGGGTGTACACACCCATTGGGTCGATGGGCACGCTGCTGTAGTCAGGAGTTTCTTCGGGGAATACGAATGTGGATGGGGCGACATTTGGGTCTTCGAACGGGGAGATCCCTGGCATAACTGCTGGATCAGTTGGCTGATAAGGATCCATATAAGGGCCCATTGAAGGGTCCATGGCTGGATCGAGTGAAGAGTTCATTGCAGGGGTTGGGACGAAATTCAATGGAGACAGGTTGCCAGCGTCGCGGGACGGAGCTTCGTCAGAGCTTGAACTGGGCTTGCTTGAACTGGGCTTAGGAGACTCGCTGGTAGCGGGGGGTCCGAAGTAGCATTGATACTAGTCGATGCCTCGTAGTCAGAAGAAGACTCATAAGAGGTGCTTTCAGCACGAGGCTTATGTGGATCCATATTGGACGATTGATTTCCGAGGTTGGTAGGGGACGAAAGATGCTCGCTGCTAGCGGGGTCGGATTCAACAGTTTCGGGAATAGATTCCAAGGTGGACCGACGAGGCTTCGGTTTGCAAAAGAGTTTTAATCTAGGAGTGGCAGTAGGAGTCACGTCCTTGGGGGATTCACTTGCATTCGCGGAGCCTGAAGAGGTATCCGACTCTGAGGTGGAGTCTTCAGGTGGGTTGTTGACAACAAGTTTTAATTTAGGAATTGCAATGGGAGTCACGTCCTTGGGGGATTCACTTGCGTTCGTGGAGTCCTCAGGAGGGTCGTTGACAACAAGTTTCAATCTGGAAATGACAGTGGGAGTCACGTCCTTGGGAGATTCACTTGCGTTCGTGGAGTCCTCAGGAGGGTCGTTGACAACAAGTTTCAATCTGGAAATGACAGTGGGAGTCACGTCCTTGGGAGATTCACTTGCGTTCGTGGAGTCCTCAGGAGGGTTGTTGACAACAAGTTTCAATCTAGGAGTGGCAGTGGGAGTCACGTCCTTGGGGGATTCACTTGCGTTCGTGGAGTCCTCAGGAGGGTTGTTGACAACAAGTTTCAATCTAGGAGTGGCAGTGGGAGTCACGTCCTTGGGAGATTCACTTGCGTTCGTGGAGTCCTCAGGAGGGTTGTTGACAACAAGTTTCAATCTAGGAGTGGCAGTGGGAGTCACGTCCTTGGGAGATTCACTTGCATTCGTGGAGTCCTCAGGTTCGTTGACAACAAGTTTTAACCTAGGAACGACAGTGGGAGTCACGTCCTTAGCGCGTTTACCTGCAATGGTGGAACCTGTATTAGTGCTCTGACAATCGCGAGTTGGGATGAAAGAACAGTGCTTACCATGAGAAGAAACAGTGTTACTCGCAGTAGGGAAGTACTCCTCAGAATCCCCTCCAACTGGAGCAGGTGGGACTCCAGTCGACCTAACAGGAGTGGTCGGAACTTGAGTTGTCCCACGAGAACTGATGTTCTGCCGAGAAGACTCGACTTTGTTCTCTAAATTGGACGAGAGCAAAGGTGTATGAGGTAGCGCATGCACAGGAGATACCGGCGAAATATGTTTGCCGTTAGATTGGTGGAATTCGGTGGTTAGCTGAGGGAGAAAATTAGGCTTGCAAGAAAAGAGAAAAGGTTTTTGGACTAGGAGAAGAGGATGGGAACTTACAGAAGGGTAGGGAGTGGTGGACAGAGCAATATCAGACTGGGGTAAACGAGAGACAGAGCCAGAGCCCTGGGCAGTGGCAGAATCCTGCAGTGTGTTAGCCCGTGGTGTCGGGCTTTGCACAACTGAAATGGCTGAACCATCCGATTCAACGGATGGCGTTTCGCTTGTCGCCCTTTCCAATTGTACAGCCAGGGCCGGGAACAGATCCCTAACTGTTTTGTCTTGTTCCATATTCAGGTTCAGTCAGGGACAGGTTCAGGTTCTTCAAAGGGGGTTGCGACGAGGTTAAGTCAAATTTCGGCATGACTCGCCTTTTATATGTACACATTTTGAGCTGTGACGATGTAATTCATGTCTCTGACGATGTAATCGATGAGTCGCCAGGTGATGTAGTTACACGCTTCTACTTCCGGGGTTAGGGTTAGTATAGTACACCATTTCATCACATGCGGCATATGCCTTGCCACAATGGCAGCAGCCACATGCTATTGGCATGGTTACTACCAGATAACTGAACTATAATCACTACAGTCATTGTCTAAGGATGAATAAAACATTAGGTGGCCAAGTATCTGGTAGTGATGGATTTTGATATTCTCGACCCTTCATGTAGTTGATGCATGCAGGTTATTAGGAGTCTCCCTCTATCACTCCAATGTTTGCTAGTGTAGTGTATTGCATATACCATCTACACCAATTTGCAAGTTCTTTAGTAAGGAATATATCGTATTCGGATGAAATAAAACGTAGTTTAAAGATATATGCAGGGTCTATATGGGCGGAGTTGTAACCAGAGAGGACATCTGGATACTACTAACTAGTTAACTATAACCTGCAACTTGGATATTAATTCGATCCCTTTGTTTTTGAACATTTCATTGAGACATAAGTCATTGAATGTTTCTTTGTAGGGTATACTATAGGGTATCACAGGTATATATATATACACATATGTATGCCTTCTATAACCAACTACATAGTAGTTAACTATATTGTAATTACATAGCTGTCCAACCTTGGCGCTTAATAGCCAAGAAAGAAAAGCAAATATCAAAGTAATAAATAACTAACTAATAAGTACTCTGTACTCTGTACACACCGTATATTTCCCATAGGCAGACCAGCACATCACTTCGTGGGCTCAACTGATTGGCTTCAGACCTGCAGCCTGATGCCTCTCCTTTCACATAAAATGCGTCTCACCCACAGAGCCATTCTCTTTCTTCTTTGTATTTCTCTTTCTTCTCCTTTTTTTTTTTCTCTCTAATCTTTTCTCTACCTCCCTTTTTTTTTTTTTTCTTTTTATTTAATCTGTTTCCTATTTCACTCCAACTCGTCAACTTTCCGCTTACGGCTGACAGCTGACAGCTTACTTCCCAGCCTGCAGCTTGTAGCTTCAGCTCACCTGAGCTATCATGGATCCCATTTCTATCCCAGCCCAGGCCAAAGATGAAGTTGTTCCATCAGAAAACCTGAATGGCTCTGCCCAATCTACAGAAGTCAAAGAAGTCAAAGACGCTGCTGTCGCCCCCCGCACCCGAAACTACTCCAGCCTCTACCCCCAAACTGTGTAAAAAACACAAAAAGAAGAACAAGAAAAAGTATGAAAGTGACAGTTCCTCGGATTCTTCTTCTTCCTCGGAATCCGACAGCGATGCCGACTCTGAGGAAGAATCAGATTCCACAGAGAGCGACTCCGATGCTGAGAAGCGCAAGCGACATCGATTACGAAAGGCACGTGCAAGACGTGCACTGAAGGATAAGAAACGTCGCAAGAAGAAGAAGCAGCGGTCGCGCAAGGCCGAGACATCGGATTCCGAATCCGACTCACCCTCTGAGTCAAATTCGGAGTCTTCCACGGACTCCGATGATGAAATAGATGACAAGGCCTTACGGAAATTAGTCACAAAGCTCAAACTTAGTAAAAGGAGAGCTAAGAAGCTGCGTGAATTGACTGCGGATGATCTGGCCGCCAATGATTCCGTAGGCGAAACTCGCCGCGAGAAGCGGTCAAAGAAGAAGAAGCCCGCTTCCAAGGTGGCCTATAAGCGTGTAGATCAATGTTAGTTTCCCTTTTTCCTTCAACCTCATGCCTTGGATTCTTTTGGTTTGGCTGACCGGTTATATAGTATGGGATACCACCATCCATAAGTACAAGCTCACTGAGACCGTGGATGACCCCGATGCCGACGAATGGGACCAGTATATCTTCAACATCCGTCGCAAGTTCAACTGGGAGAACAAGTACCTCGAGACTGTCGTCGATATCAAGAGCAAACCTCTCCGCGATGCCCTCTCCAAGATCATGGATGGCGTCAAAGGCGTCAGTCTCGTGCAAGAGCCCGCCGTCGTCGATCCCAACATGCTGTTCCTGTATTTGGAGGAAACAAGGCAGTACATGAAAGACCTGAAGAAGCAGTCGCGCAGTGAGAAGAAGAAAAAACCCAGAAAGGCTGCCGCGGTCAAAGCCGCCCATCTGAAGGTTCTTATCAAATACCTTGACACTGACTACGCAGACATCAAGAAGACTCTCTACCCGCTGCTCGAGGCCAACACTATCACCTTCGATCTGTTATGGGCTCTCTACAAGCCCAATACCATTGCTTACACCCCGACCTACGGCAGCTCTGATGAACCACGTGCTTTCAAGATCGAGTACGCTGTCAAAGAGTCCTCCTTCATGAAGGGCCAGTGGTACAGTGTTGATGGCCGCTACCTCGAGTACGATGGCAAGGATTACGGCTTCGGCACTATGTCCGCTGAGGTCGACGCCTTCAAGGGCGCTCGCAAGATCACCAGTCTCGCCTGCTACCCGCTGAAGTACCACCGTGACGCCGAGGGTCTGCGTGCCCGTCTCATCGAACGCGGCAAGCGCTTCGTCTCCCTCCGTGGTATGAACTACCGCTTCCACAAAGGTATGGCCTTCTACAAGAAAAAGCGCTCCCTCATCATCAAGGTCAATATCAATGGCCGCGTCATGATCGACCCGGCTATCCACCGTCGCATCAACCCTAACTATCCCATCTCCACTGTCCGACCCAAGGATCCGGATCTGATCGATCCCGAAGATCTGGGGATCAGCGGTGACGAGGGTGATGATAGCGACGGCTGCTGCTGTGGTGGATCGGACTCGGACTCCGAGCATGGCGGTGCCTCCGATACCCCACGGACGATGTACAAGGTCGTCGAGGATACAGATGGATGTCCGCGCGTCGTCGAGGTCGAAGTCGATGAAAACGGTGCTGAAATCCAGAAGGAGAAGATGGACCGCATTGAAGGTGCCGCTGCTGATACCAAGGAGCGCGAGTTCACCGAGGAGGAGCTTCTCGTCGCTTCTCCTGTCGTTCTCGGCTTTGCCTTCAGCGAGAAGCTCTGGCTTGAATTCACTATCTCGGGTATCAGCGATATCGAGTGGGATAAGGAAGCCTTTGGCTCGCTTGTCCTCCCGTCCAACCAAAAGTCCATCGTCAAGGCCCTCGTCGAGTCGCATACCTTCCATGCCGCCCAGAACATCGACGATGTCATCCAGGGTAAGGGTAAGGGTCTTGTTGCCGTGTTGCATGGTCCACCCGGTACAGGTAAGACCCTGACAGCAGAGGGCATCGCCGAGCTACTCCGTCGCCCGCTGTATATGGTCAGCGCTGGCGAACTGGGTACTGACTCACGCACCCTGGAGGCGGAGCTGAACAAGATCCTGGATATCGCGCACTCTTGGGGCGCAGTACTCCTCCTCGATGAGGCAGATGTTTTCCTTGAGAAGCGCACTATCCACGATATCCACCGCAATGCCCTTGTCAGCATCTTCCTCCGTCTGCTGGAGTACTTCCAGGGCATTCTGTTCTTGACTACCAACCGTGTTGAGACCTTCGACGATGCCTTCCAGTCGCGTATCCATGTCGCCTTGCGTTATGGTGATCTGACTTCCAAGGCGAAGAGAAGTATTTGGAAGATGTTCTTAGAGCGCGTGCGCGCTATTGAGGGTGTGCATATTGCTTCTTTCTCCGAGGAGGATTATGATATGCTCTCCAGGCACACGCTGAATGGGCGACAGGTATGTTCTTTCGTCCCATTCTATATATACTTCCCTTCTGGTCCACAAACTAACCGGTTTACTATCAGATCAAAAACTCCGTCCGCACCGCACAAGCCCTGGCTGTCAATGAGAACGCACCCCTCTCCATGGAGCATATCAAGAGCGTACTAGAGGTGGCCGAGACGTTCGATCAAGACCTGCGCGGTGGAACGGGATACCTAGATGCTATGCGGAGTTATACTTGATTTATTCTTGTTTATTTCCATATCGATGCAGGTCTGGTATTCAGCTCGCTATTTCATTTTCGTTTTATCGTTGTTTGTTTGTTTTTTTCGTGTTTGCTTGCTGTTTTCGGTTCATCTCAGGTACAGAGTAATTAGTTGCGACATCTTTCTCTTTCTTTTTGCATTGCGGACATGGAGCGAAATGAGTTTAGCTAGTTTCAACGTATGATTTAGCTCGAAAATTGGGCCAAGCTACAAGTTGAGGATCGTAGTATAGACCGATTTATGGATTAGAATGGATCATCGATCTAGTAAAAGAACATTGTCATACACTTTCATTATTACAAAAAAAAAACAAAAGTCACGACGAGATATGGATAGTTGTACAGAGAATTTTTCAAGGGTTGGCCTTGACGAAGTCAACACCCTTCTGGATGTTCTTCTTCAGGTCAGCCAGGCAGGCCTCGAGGAGACCCTGCTCGTACTCGTTGACCTCACCAACGGAGTGGATCTGCTCAACACCGTTGGGGCCGAGCTCGACGCGGGAAGCGAAGAAGTCAATACCCTGGTCCTTGTACAGAGGGGAGTCGACGAAGGTAGGCTCAATGACACCCTTCTCGCCCTGGGCGGCGCGGAGGAGAGACTCGGCGAAACGGGCACCAGCCATGGCCATGGAGAGGGTGGCGGAACCGGCACCGTCCTTGGCCTTGACAACCTCGTCACCACCGAACTGGATGCGGTTGACAAGGGCATCGCGGGCCTGGCCGGCGATGGAGGAGTGGTTGGACTGCGAAAGCAGGGGGACGATGGTCACACCGGAGTGGCCACCAACGACGGGGACAGCCTCGCCGGAGGGGTTGGTGTTCTGGACCTGCGAGATGAAGCGCGAGGCACGGACGACGTCAAGGGTGGTGACACCGAACAGACGCTTGGGGTCGTAGACGTTGCGGGCCTTGTAGACCTCGGCGACGATGGGGACGGTGGAGTTGACCTTTTTCATGATGGATGGTTAGTAAGGGCACCTAATTGTTGCGGTGATTGTGATTTTTTGCGACTTACGGGGTTAGCGATGACCAGAACGTGGGCCTTGGGGGCGGCCTCAGCGGCGGCCTTAGCAAGGTCGCGGACGATAGAGGCGTTGGTGTTGAAGAGGTCATCACGGGTCATACCGGGCTTGCGGGGAACACCAGCGGGAATGAGGATGATCTCGGAGCCCTCGAGGCAGTCACGGAGACCGGAAGCATCGGGGTTGTAGCCAGTAACAGTGCTGTTGGTGTTGATGTGGCTCAAATCAGCAGCGACACCTAAAACAAAGGTCAGTATTTGTTGTTGAATTGAGTAGAAATAATCATATTCATACCGGGTCCACCACGGATATCGTAGAGGGCGAGATCGGAAACACGGGGGTTGAGCTTCAGCAGCAGGGAGAGAGGCTGGCCAATACCACCGGCAGCACCGAGAACGGCGACCTTGGAGGCCTACACGAGGAGTTAGCTTTCCAATTAGAAGATAGAAAGGAATTGATACGCACATTGATAGCGGAGGCCGAGAAGGCACGCTTCTGGAAAAGGTTAACAGTACGACGAGCGGCAAACATGATTTGATATGTTGGAGAGAGAGAGAGATGAAGAGAAGAAGAAAGTTGGAAGGGGAAGGAGGAGATTCCGGTGAAAGAGATTGGGGGGGGCTCCACCTGAGAGGAAACACAACAGTTTCCGAGCTCCCGATGCTCGGCTGAGTTTACTTTTCAAGTAACTAGTTATATGGAGTATAACTAGTTATTGTACTTCTTTTAATTAATTAATTGTTATGTTGGAATTGTTTTAATTCTTACTTTACTATGACAATAATAATATTTTATTCCCATGCTACATATACTACATAGCTATATAGAATGGTTATAACATCCCGTTCCCGGAGCAATGGATGTGGACTTCTGCATGTGGTATCACATCATCTTGCCAAGGTAATTATTTTCATGTGTCAAAAGTACTTTAGCAGTTGGAGATATATAAAGATATAGATATATCTAGGGACAATGCCTTAAAGAAGAGACCGGCTTATATGCAATGGAAGGTGTATACTACATCTCCTCCATATCCTACATATAGTATACCCAGGTCATAGACAAGTTCCAATTTCACCCAATGCCTATGTACAATATATATTTAAGTAGTCGATAACGTGTCTACATCAGACCCATGCAATGTATTTGCATTTCACAAGAATAATAGCTAGTAATAGACCATAGTTGCATCTACCATATATGACCCCATAAATATATATACACTTACAATACCACACCCACAGCTAAACATAGACACTTGATTGGCAATAAGGACATCAATTGTAAAGACCAAACGCCGGCGCTGATGAACCCAATACAAGATACAGAATCACACCCTACCCAGGTAAACCCAGGTAAACCCCGAGAACCCTCGCCAGCTCCCAAATATACCCATCCAGGCAAAGACCAACAACACATAGCGATATAATCCTACCGCAAGAAGTGTAACACTGCCCAGCAGAACAAGAAGAAAATCATCACTCCGCCCCAGAAAATCCACTTATCCTGACGCGCCCGCCGCTCCACCATCCGGATTGTATCGCCGCTCACACCAAGGGTGTTTGCAACGCTGTATAGTCGCCGTTGCGTGCCCTTGAGTACTTCACGCTGCTGTCCCAGGTCGGTGAGGACCGCTCTTCCCCGGTCCAGGAAATCATCGAGTTGGTTGTGTGTGCTGGAGAAGAAGGATTGCTCGCGCAGCGCGTGGGTTTCGCGGTTGTAGTCTGCCGGGCTAGCGCCAAAGCCGAGACCGGAGGATGAGGGTGCAAAGGCGGAGGTACTCTGTGGGAGTGAGGATTGCGCATAGGGGTTCTCTGGTGTTGCGGCGTGGTGTGGGCGACGGCCTAGGAGTTCATTGTGGTTGCTAACTGATTGCTGGTATGGAGTCAGTATTGGAAGTACTCCATGAAAGGATTGCTGGGCACATACTGCATCCTCACGTTCTTTGCGGAGTCGATCGAATTGTGTCCGATAGTCTGCGAGCTCACTTCGGAAGTTCTTGATGCGGTCGAATGCCTTTTGTTGTTTCTCGGGAATCAGTTCCTTCTTGGAGAGCGCTGAGTAGTCATCGACGGTGCGGGAAAGTGATGCCAAGGAGGCTGCTAGCTGGCCTAGGAGCTTGAAGTCAATATATTGGGTTGCAAAGAGTCGGTGGTAGGAGCGCACCTTGTAACGCGGGTGACGAGGTGGTCGGGGACTGTGAAAAGGTGTCCAGATCACGGCGGATGGACGATGATTGCTTTAAAGCAGAGTTGAATAGCGAGTTCTGTTCATGTCAGCTGTGTAAACCTATCGCGGGGAAGTGCAATATACCATGTTGTGAACCCGTATAGATTAGTGGATTGCTTCGATACTCGGTAAGTCGTGGAAAAGGGAGCACTAGGGCTGGTAACGGGATGAGTATGAGGTAACAAGCTCCCGAGCTAATGACTTTCTTTTCACAAACACCCAAGGTGATCATCAACTGATCCAACCGGAGGCCAGATGGTCTTGTTTGGGCCCATTCTGACATAGTTCACCGCCTTCAGATACAATGCATTCTACAGTATATAACTGCAAGTCCTTGAGATATTTTTAGATTCTGCGAGGTATCTCCAGTTGTATCTGAGGTTCGAATATCTACACAAGTCGTGATCCCTAATAAGCTACATTTGCCAGGTCATATATAGAACGGGTGGTGGTATTATTCATAGTTCGTCAACAGCCTCTTTAATTCGCCCGCTGACCTTCGTCTTCTAAAAGAGGATCTATATGTCTCTGATGATCCGATGTCAAATAGAGCTAATGCCCCCTCTCTCGTTGGCTATTTATGTAATTACTTAACACGGGCTATCACAGGTCTCCGCTATCTCCTAGGGCTTTAACGCAGTGACTTTTCACGCAACCTCAAAATATACCCTTTCCAAGGCTTCTATTCTCTCAGTGAGATTTGCCAGTTGCTCTTCCATGTCTCCGATGGCTTTCGCTTTTGCAGCCATTTCTTCTTTCTTTTTTTTCCACTTGGCGCTTGTAAGCCAATAGGTCGCTTCCTGCATGCAGAGGTTATATAAGGCCCATGCAATCCAAGCTACCCCATATAGGTGTGCACTCCAATGCGGGGATGGTGCCGAAGACACTGAAGTTTCATTAGTAAAGTGTTTTCCCGGCTGGAGAATTATAACATACCCGCAAACTCCGACGGGCAACCAAAAAAGGATGGGAACAGGCTCTGGATAAGCAACTATGTACAGTTAGCGTCTATCCATACATCGAGGTAAACATTTAGGATGGAGGTGTGACTTACAAGGAATGCAACTTGAAGAGCGACGAGCTGAGTTCCGAAGGACAGCTTCCGAGCCACAGGAAGCGAGCGAAAGGTTTCTCCAATGATGGATTTGGAGGGACAAAAGGCGAGGACGGAAATAGTTGCAATGCCGATCAAGATCACAAGAGAAGCAATCTGTGTTGCGAAAAGATAAAATTGGTTTGGAGAAGACGCCATTAAGAGAAGTTGTGGTGAGAGAATTTCTGATGGGAGAAGTTGGGATGGGAGAAGTTGATTAAAAGTCGGACTAAAGGATTAAGTCTTCTATTGGGAAGGAGGCCTTGGAGTCCAAAGTAGGCAAGAGCCAAAGAAGTAGACTCCCCCCTTCGACAAACATTTTCACTTGCTAAGAACTAGAGGCCCTCACCTCCTTTCCAGTATCGCAGGTCCTTGATGTAAGAATGTAGAGTAGTCCTAAATTCAAAAGGAAAATGATATCGTCATTAAGGTACTGGTACAGTCAATCCAATCCGACTTTATTTCGCCAAATAAATAAAATGCAAAACCATAGAAGAGCTGGGATGGTATATCAAGAATAAAGCAATCATGCAACACCGAAACGAAAGAGATGAAACGCTGCACCTCTATTTGGGGGGAACTTGTTCTGCAGGAACCACCTAGGCCATGGGTTAGCATCATCGTTGTACTCATATATCACTGCGGAAATACACGCAGAACTTACTTGCTGACCAAGTAGTCCACTGCACCAAAGATCCCGACAGCACCGGCAGATAGTCCGACCAACTCCCAGGAGAGGTTGCCCCGCGCGTGTTGCTTGTAGGCACCGAAGCCAAGGCCTGCACCGACCACAGTTGCAATAGCGGCATTCGCAAGGAAGACAGGGTTGCTAGTGTTTTCACAGATGCCATGTCTCTTCACCTTGTCGGCCTTGGCCTTCTTCTTTTCCTCGTCCTCTCGCTTCTTCTTCTCCTCGACTTCGCGCTCTATCCGCTCCGCTTGGGTGGTGGTTTGAACATCTTGCTTGAGGAAGGCGGGATCCACAGTCTGCACATGGGGGCTATCAACGTCGATCAACGAGGCCGTGCTCTCGGATTCATCGTGGTAGACTCCGCCCACAGGGGAGCGCGGCTGGAGTATATGTTAGTTGTGTGTAGGGGCTATTTGGTACTATAGACAACTCACGCCTGTCATTTGTTAGTATTGTAATTTAGACATAGGAACTTGTATACTTACGTCCTCAGGGGACTGCTTGGGGCCCTTTGCAGCTGCGTCGGCGTAAGACATGGTGATGCGCGTGAGGTTATTATAAGGTGATGTAACGATTCTGGGGAAACCCTAGTCAGTACCTAAAACACTAATATAGGCAGAACACCTAGAACAGAAGAAGAGATAAACATACCAGAAACGAGATGTGGGAATGAAGGGAGTTAGGGGAAAAGGAAGGATTTATACCAAGGAAGCTTGGGGGGTGTGACATCACGTCATTGACCTGGGCCCACTACCAAGGTTCCAGATGTTGATCTCATAGCTGTATGCTGTACCTAATGTTAGTACATACCTAGGTATGTATAGTTATATAACTATGACCTTGAATATATTCTAAGACATCTTATCCTCTATTGAAGTAGTTAGTTCAAATAATAACTCAATTAGTATATATGTTGTATGGTCCTGACCGAAGGCTTCAGCCACCTACGTGATCAGGTATTCCCCAACACCTTGGCCAAAACCATTAAAAACCAATATAGAATAAGTCGAGGGAAATTCCATTGAGAGAATTTAAAGCTGCTAAAGAGATCAAAAACAAATGGGACCTATGTAATGGTCTAATGGGGGAGACAAGGTGTTTTAATACAGATTACAGATAAGTCAGAACAAAAAGAGCTTTGCTGTTTACAGCAGAAGCTCCAGAGGGTTCTCGACGACCTTCTTCAGCTCCTTGATCCATTCACCACCAACGGCGCCGTCAACCACCTTGTGGTCGAAGCTACCAGTCACGACGATCTGGTCGTCCCACTCGGTAACGGTGCCCTCCTCGGTCTCGACGGGAACAGCGACCTTGCGGGTAGTGCCAACAGCCAGGATACCGGCCTGCGGGGGGTTGATGACAGCGGTGAAGCGCTCGACAGCAGCGTTCATGCCCATGTTGGAGATGGTGAAAGTGCCGCCCTGGTACTCCTCGGGCTTAAGCTTGTTCTCGCGGGCACGCTTGCCAAGGTCCTTGATCTGCTTGGAGATGCTGGAAAGTCCGAGACCCTGAACGTTCTTGACGACGGGGGTGATCAGACCGGAAGGGGTAGACACAGCGACGCTGATGTCAGCGGTGTTGTGCTGACGGATCACGGCCTGGCCGTTCTCCTCGCGCCAGCTGGAGTTAACCTGGGGGACCTTGAGAAGGGCAACAGCGCATGCCTTGACCAAAAAGTCGTTGACCGAAAGCTTGTACTGACCCTCAGCGGAAGCGTTAAGGGCCTGGCGGAGCTTCATAAGCTTGGTAACCGAGAGAGTGGTGGAAACAAAGTAGTGGGGGTTCTCGGCCATGGACTGCTTCAGACGGTTGGCAATGGTCTTGCGCATCGAGCTGACGGGGATTTCCTCGAAGGAAGCCTCGGTGGAGACAGCAGTGGTGGCGGGCTTGGCCTTCTCAACGTCCTCCTTGGTGATGACACCACCACGACCGGTACCCTTGAGGCCCTTGATGGACACACCCTTCTCGAGGGCCAAGACCTTAGCGGCGGGGCTGATAGTGGGCTCACGGTCAATGCTGGGCTGGAGCTTCTCGCCCGAGGTCTCGGGCTCTTGCGCGGCGGGTGCCTCCTCGGCAGGGGCAGGAGCTGAGGGCTCAGCGCTCTTAGGCTCCTCCTTCTGCTCAGCGGGGGCAGGCTTGTCACCACCGGCATCAGCCAGAGTGAAAGACTCGAAGGCGGAGACATCAGCACCTTCCTCAACAAGGACGGCAATGGGCTATATCGGGAAAGCAAGTTAGATTGACAAATCACTCCCCACGGAGAAAACCGGGAAATTTCTTACCTGGCCAACAGCGACGTCCTTCTCGCCGCTCTCCTTCAGAACCTTGGCGAGGACACCCTCATCCTGGAACTCAAAATCCATCTGTGCCTTGTCGGTTTCGATCTCTACCAGGACATCGCCGGGCTGGAGGGCATCTCCGGCATTCTTCTGCCACACGCCGATGTTTCCGGCGGTCATTGTCGGTGAAAGAGCCGGCATGCTGATGAGTGTGTGGGGAGGGAAAGCTATGGATAGACATGTTAGAATTGGTGTATGGGAGAAAGGAATGAAAGGAATAAATCAATTGTCATACACTTCGAGGCATAGAAGCGGGAAAGGGCAGAGAGCGCAGGCACCTGGGTCCTAGTGGAAACATCATTAGCATCAATCTGTAATCACAATTGGTATTAGTGGAACATACTGAATCACCTCCTGGAGCTTAGAGGAGACCTGGGGCCGGCGCATAGCGGCGGCACCTCTGGACATGAACATGGCGCTCGGGGTGCGCATCCGAATAGCTGACGCAACCATGGTGCCTGAGACTTGTTGTGATTATAAAAAGGAAAGGAATAAAGGCCCTTGACGCTGATATGAGAAAATAAGAAGATCCCGGCACAGAGGAAACGTGAAGGCCCGAGAATGGATAAGGTTGGGGTGGAAGGAGATGCCTCTAAATCACGAACTTTTCTGTTGAGCTACCTGTGGCTCCCGGTGAGAGGAGCGGCAGCGGCCTCTTCCGATGTAGTCACGTGTTGTAATTTACAGGCTCAAGCTCCGGGTACGTGTATTATTGTTTTTTTTAGGGGTGTCTTTCTCACCGCCTTTACTATACTCATAAGAAGGACATTGGAAAGCATTTCAAAGCAAGTTAGCTAGCTTAGGGAAATATTTACTTGAGTCAAATTCTTATTAATGCCATTATTTTGACATTTATATGCTTATATTTTCTATTATAAAGGGTACATAATATATATGACAGATGGATAGTACAGGCATACATAGGTTTACCGAACCGGACAATCAACATTCTGCTTAGCAAAAAAAGCCGGTGAGAGCCTGTGGAATCTCCGGCTCCAGCCAAACCTTCCAAACCTTCCAAGGTTGGAAGAATCCTTGGCTGAGGTAAGCATGCATTAGTCCCGATTCGGAGAAGACACGCAGCCCCCGTCCTTACATGTCATCGCGATCGTTTCAAGCTTCCCCACGTTTGCTCGTTCGATGTTTCTGATCTAATTAGATCACTCCGCCCGGAGTCTCCTTGACCATGGCGGACACCGAAATCGGCCCTGAGCCGACTCAATCCATTGATATGCCTGAGAAACCCGCCGAGACCCCCGACGTACCTCCTACAGTAACAAACCCCGACGAGTCAACGCTGCCCGAGCAGACTGAATCACAAGAACCAAACCAGAACGGTGACGAGGAAGTATCCGAGCGTCAGGACGATGAAGAAAAACCAGACGTGCCGGCCAAGGACGAGCCTGAACAGACTGAACATGAACCCCAAACAAACGGTCCACCCACGATTCAGGAACCACCCCGGGAGGACAACGATGCGATAGAAAACAGGCTGCGATCGGACTCGCGGTCAACAACTGCTACGTTTATGACGCAGCGATCTACCCCGGTTAGCTCGACAGTATTCATTGTCACGGCTCTGGACAACATTGCTGCTTCGCGGGACGCCCGGAGGGACAAAAAGCTAGAGGATGCCACACAGGTGGCCCTGGCTAATATCAAGCAACCTGATGGACAAGCAATTGACCCGGAGCTTATCTTCCGTCCTCTACATCTAGCAAGCAAAGCCCTCAGCATTCCTCTGCAGGTAACTGCATTGGACTGCATTGGAAAGCTGATCACATACTCCTATTTCGCATTCCCATCCGCCGAGACAGAGAACAATGCCACCCGCGAACAGCCTCCACTTATCGAGCGTGCTATCGATGCGATCTGCGACTGCTTCGAGAATGAAGCCACCGCGGTTGAAATTCAACAGCAGATCATCAAATCGCTGTTGGCAGCGGTCCTGAACGATAAGATTGTGGTGCATGGAGCTGGTCTCCTGAAAGCTGTCCGCCAAATTTACAACATCTTTATCTACTCCAAGTCCAGTCAAAACCAACAGATCGCTCAGGGGTCGCTTACACAAATGGTTAGCACGGTCTTTGATCGAGTGCGGACACGGATGGACCTCAAAGAGCTCCGAG